AATCAGTCCGCCTTACACATCAGTCATCAACTCTTTCAAAAAATGAGAAACATCACCAACACATACAGTAAATAACGGAACCAAATTCCGCGCAGAATTTTATCCATAGCCCACAAAACCAAACAGAAGGTACCCCGGCAAGTGCTTTTAAAAATCACCGTGCAGCTACTGCCGAGTAACCAGGTATTTCCGATGCCACGAGCCAGGGATCATAGTTTGGAATTATTTAATGCGCCTGCTGCCAGGACCATCCATCTGCGGCGATCAGGGATGTCTTTGCGTCAGTAAGTGTCCCTGTGTTGAACCGGAGCCAACTGCGCGGGTAAGACGGCATCCCGTGTCAGGGAGTGGAACAATGTAATATGATTATCCTTCCAATAGCCTCCGGATCGTCCAGGAGATCCCGCCCCATATTGTCAGAATGGCAGCCAGAAGAGGGTCTCATTGTTAGTGGATAAAGTGGGTCGAAATGAACATATAAGGAGCGAACAAGGCCATCCCGTGCTTGTCTGAGAACGTTTTCTTTTGCAGGATGGATTAGTGAAACAAATTACATCACAATGTCTAAACATTCACGCCCGCAACCTCGAGAGCAAGGACAACGATGGCCTGTGCTACAGGTTCCGTAAAACCGAGCGACTTCGGCCACTGCAAGTGCCACCAGACGGCGGGCGCCGTGTTAATCTGTCGTCTGGTCAGATGAATAGTTCAGGAGCACGAAAAGTAGGGATTCTACCTTTACTGTTCCAGTTCAACCGCCAGATTCCAACTCGACTTCGCGGTGCTTTAAGGGCCAATCCGTTCTTATCATCAGTCTTAAAGTCGCGCACGTGAAATATGTGCCCAGACTGCCGTATAAATGCAAGATTTGATGTCATGAAGCGTTCAAAGATACTTCTTTTGGACGCGTCATCATTTTCATCCACCCGTTTGTCACGGCTTAGTTGGAACTATTAGGCCAACGCTGCGCGGCCTGCGAGAGCTGCAACGCCTGGAGTCGATAATTTTGTTTTTGAGATACTCGAGTGCGCATGTTCAAAATGACGTCACATAACTTGCACTACTAATCAATTGAAGTGTTTTCAGGTGATTATTTCAGAAGCGTCATCATTTTCGTCCACCGGTGAGCCAATACTAAAAGTTAGCCACTCCGCAAGCTATGGAGACTGCAACGCCTGGTGTCGAGGTTTTTGTTGCTAAGATTTGCGAGCGCGCGTGTTTAAAAAAAAAAAACACGTTACATAAATTGCAGCACCAATCGATTCTGATTGAGTGGTGAACATTTCCAGACCAACATGGCTTGGCCATGTTAATATGCATTGTTGACCACTTGATCTGTAATCAAATCTCATCTTCAAATATTGATCAAACGTATCGATCTAGTCTATCTTCGCGATGTCCTTAATGTCAGGAGAACCAGATAAATAATTCTGACAAAGCTATTGAGTTCTGTCAGTTGAAAAGGAGCCCACTAAACCATTGTAAATTCAGAGTGCCGGTGATTTATTTTATGCGATCAGTTCAACGCCTAATTTCTGCAGTTGATTGACTTTAAAATACAAACAGAGTTGATCACCGTGGCTTCTGGTTTCTGTTCTGGTTATAAGGTAAACATAACAATAAAACAAAGAAAATCGTGTCTCTTCTGAATAAGTAAGCTGTATCCGGAGATTTTGGGGCGTTCACCATAGGAGGGTCTTTTCTCAGCCTTGTGCTCCCGTTTGGCAAGGCTCTGGCTACGCCCCTGCCTACACACACAAAAGCGAGTCATGTCGTCTACGTTGCATGAAGGGCAATGCAATGTCCGTTGGGTCAAGTTCATACCAAAGGCAGGCAGCTTCACGGAGGCTTTTCTTCTGCGGTAGTGTGGTGTAAGAGAAGGCGATCTGGAAAAGATATTGTCGTACGTGTCCCGCATAAGTTTCACACAGTAATTAGTAGTAATACTGATCCAGAAATATGCAATAAGGTAGTCATACGATCAATTCGCTGCCAGTCGTGCGGGAGGCAGCTAGGACAGGGCAGTGGCCGCCGACGACGAACGGGAGCAGGGCCCAGATAAGGAACGTATGACAGGCGGGCCTGGCTTGTAGGCCCATACCGTGACTTGGTTTGTAGCAGAGAATTTCCAATTGTATGGCTTTTGTCACATTGTTTTTGGTTAGTTCAAGCTTCCGAATTTGTTTTAGCCTAAAATGCTGCGACAAGCCTTATCTCTTGAAAAGCAGCCAGCGAAATGAATGCGCATGACAAATCTGCCGCACTGTGAACCATCGATTCACTTTCAAAATTATCACCAGTCTATGTGTATGTAAATGTAAATGTAATTGTATGTAACTACGTTTATGTGTATATAAATGGTATGTATGTAAAAACATATCACCAGTCTATGTGTATGTAAAAATATCACCAGTCCAGGCTGTATTTTGGCATCTATCCTGTAAAGACAGATACCTCCTCAATGGCACAAAATGCCTACCCGCTCGTGGAATTTCGCCTTCCCAGGAAAGACATTGTCAAAATGGACGAATAATCCTGGGGAAACTGGCTAGCCTTATTTGCTGAATGGCATAGCTGAGTCGAATGGGCAAGACTGCATCACTGATAAACAGCTCTGAATGCATATCTAGCAGCAGCCATGACATTTAAATAAAGTGCAGTAAAATATCCATCTCAATACCCCATTCCCACCCCCACCCCCCATTCCCCCGGTCATCGGGCTTGCATTCCTATTCCTGTTCCTGAAGTACAGCCTTAACTTAGCCCCCCTCTTTTGAAACGTTCCTACGCCTTTGCATGATACTTAGGCCATGTTGACTGCCAAGTATGGTTTAAGGATGTAAACAATTTCATAGCCGTAATTTAATTCAGAAACTTAGCGTTTCGCGTTTGGTGCGTTACAAACGCCGCTGTCGATCAATTTATGCCCAGGGGAATATCTACACTTGACACTTGACTAGTACCGTGCGGGGTTACGCCGGTACCTGTCGTTGCGAGGTTTGGCGTCTGCAGGTAGGTGCTGGGGTGGAAACAGCCGGCGACTGTGTGCCGGATATTAATGAATGTGCGGATAGTCTGAAATCCTGGGTTTATTATTGAAATTCATGCATATCTTCAAACCACGTTGTACAGTAGAATGGCTTGTCCCTATAGTTCTAGTAAAATTATTGTGTCCAGTACCTATGCTGTCATCCTCATCATGCAACACTGTTTTCCTTGACATAATGGCATGGGTCAAACACTTGAAAACTGTGCGAGGCGAGGGCCATAAGCCATCACCAAAGCCTGAAAGCTCATGAACATTGCACAAAATGCCATGGTCATTTGCATTATGACCTATAATGTGCTTCAGCATTTTCCACACTATTGCATACTTGTATTATGATTTTTAATGAAATAGTTTATACAACAGTAAGCTCAAATTTAAATCAGGTATCTTGAAAAGAAGAAGGCAAGGTAATATATGTATGGTCAAATTATAAGTGCATAACCAGGTCTACTCTAACCACATCAACTTCAGGGCAATGTTCATGTATCAGCATCAGCCCATGTACAAGTTGCCACTACCCCAGCCTACATAAAGAACATGTTATTCAGAATATGTCTTACATATCAGTAACATTTCAGCAGTAGTTTTGACACATTTGTACTGTGAATCTGAACTCTCAGTGGTCAATGCATAGCTGCCACCATTTTCAGTGCATAGGGAGCCAAGGTTTTATGGAGCTGTGATGGTGCACAGGGAGTTTCAAGCTAATGTATGTAGTCCTAGCCTGGATTGAGCTCATTGAAATGTTAGGCTTGGTGCACTAATGCCCTATAGCTATTCTGTCCTGTAGGCATGTAGCACAGTGGATAGGATTTCTTTCAGACTGGTGGTTACCCATGCACCATACCCTTACACCGACATTCCTACTGGCCATCTATTTAACTGCACCCAATATTCTATCTAAAAGGCATATACCCACATTACCAGCCTACCTTTTCCTCTGCAACACATTATTGCCCATTTTGATTATTTTGTGCTGTGTCTGGTCATCAATCTGATCCCCAATCCTTCAATACCTGATATTTATCCAATGAAATCCTCCATGTAACCCTTTTTCATCTGGTGAGGTTAGAGCGAAACACATCATAATTTGATTATCTCATCTTCTGGGCAGTGAGCATCTAGCAGTTCTCTTGCTGCTCTCTGACCTAGACAGTTCCATTCTGTTAGGAAAGGGAAATCAATTAACACACATTTTTCAGATCACCTTAATCTGCAAAGATGTCAACCACAAGTCCAAAAGAGCCATCTGTCCCTAAAGAGCCAAGCAAGGAGAAGCCTGTGAAGGTCTCAGAGGCAGAAAAGAGTGCCAAACCAGAGACCTCTGATGTGGCGCCGGAGCCAACTGCGCCTGCCGCCGACGCTGATCTGAAGCCCAGCAGCGGCGACGGCGAGGCAGCGACGCCTGCGGCCGACGCCGAGGCCGGGCCGGAAATGGAGCCGCAGCCGCAGCCGCAGCCGCAGCCGGAGGGGGAGGTGCAGGCGCAGCCGCAGGCACAGCTGAAGTCGCAGCCGAAGTCGCAGCCGCAGGCGCAACCGCAACCGCAACCGCAGCCGCAGCCGCAGCCGCAGCTGCAGCCGCAGCCGCAGCCGCAGCCGCAGCCGCAGCCGCAGCCGCAGCCGGAGCCGGAGCCCACGTCTGCGCCCGCGCCCGCCACTGAGGGGGCCGAGGAGACGGCCGGCGGGCCTGAGCCGGCCAGCGAGGAGGCGGCAGCGGGCGCCAAGAGTGCTGGCCGGCCGCGCGCCACGCGCTCGCGCAATCCGGCGTTCGCCGCCAAGCAGAAGAACTTCATCAAAGACTACCGTCGGAGCGTAGGCAGCGCGGCGGTGGCCGGCGAGAAGCGGGGCGGAGGAGACGAGGCGGCCGCCGCCAAGAAGCGGCGTCGCTCCGAGGAGCCGGCAGCCGCCGGGGTGAGTGGTGCGCGCTGGTGTCGGCCGCCGTCCGCCGGTGATGAGACGGGTGGGGACGCGCGGAGGACGGGGTCTGCCGGTGGCTGTCTGCTGGTCTGCCATGCATGGACGGGGCTTGTACCTTGGTGATGACATCGTTTTTTGGATCTGCTGTCCCTCAGGTGTTCCATTGCATTCTAGTATGTTGTACCTATATGTAGCGGAAGATATTACTTTCCTGAACTATTGTTGCCCGCCCTGCTACTGCTGCACGAGCCCGTGGTAGGACTTACCATTGATCACGGGGGCACCGAGCTGCCCGCGTGCGGCCCTCGTTTCGGCCGCCGGCCAGGCTGACCCGCCGCGCCCTGACCGCAGAGCGGCGGCGCTGCCCTCAACGACAACTGCTGCTGGGTGTGCCACCGCGAGGGCAAGGTGGTCTGCTGCGAGACGTGCCCGCGCGTGTTCCACCTCAAGTGCGCCGGCCTGAACGCCGATCCGCCCGGCGACTGGGTGTGCGTCGAGTGTCGGCGCGTCGTGCAGGCCGAGACGGTGGCCAATCTCTCGCCGGCCATGAAGATGCTGACGCACGAGCAGTTCACGCTGCTGCTGAAGCACGCCATCGGGCGTCCTGAAGGGTCTTCCCGGGGTGAGTGGCTGTCAGCGCATGGGGTGGGGTGCTGTCGGGTCATCGCGGAAGGAATCCGGCGGCCTGCTAGGGAGGGACATATTCCTTGACGTATGATGCCTAGTTCTTAAATTTAAGTCGTGTGTTTCATAACTAATGCTTGCGCGAGGGGAGCGTGATCATTGCGTATCATTAGTCGTGTGATGGAATGACTTGACTTCTCTCTGGGAGACTTTTCTCTGCTGGCCTTGTTATGTTAACACATTTTTCAAAAAGAGGATGGGCAAATTGACATGAACAGGCAATTTCTCACAGCCAGGTTTTCGGCGACTGTCACATCGCCTCAGATGACTCGATTTTCTCCGCCTGTTTGGCCACCACAGCCCACCCTTGCCCAGTTGGCTGCTCCTCACCACCTCGCCCATGTGGATCACCCTCACTGTGCAACCGCGCTGCCACCCAGGCGGAGCCGTTCATCAACCCGGTGGACGAGAAGAAGTTCCCCAACTACGGCGAGTTCGTCGCTTGTCCCATGGACCTAAACACCATGGAGGAAAACATCAAGAAGGGCATGTACGGCTCGACCGAGGCTTTCATAGCCGACTGCAAGTGGATCCTGCACAACTGTATCCTCTTCAACGGCCGTGAGTATGGCGGTCGGGGAGAGGCCGAGGCTGGCAGACCGCGGCAAGCAGCAGAGCGGTTCGGGAAGGTACTGAGTGTGACGGACCGGGGAGATCTGGGTAGGGGTTTGGGGAAGGGCTGAATTGATAGGACTGCGGGAAATAAGGTGGAAGCCGGCGGATGGGGGGGGGGGGGGGGGTTTAGCGTTTAGAGGCAGGACGATGCTCCCCGGTATTGGTGGCGGTGTGGCAGACTGTGACTCCGGTAGGTCCGAATTTTCAGGGGGAGGAGTATAGTGGCCTGAGGAATTGGTAATTGCAGTGAATTGGTAATCTCGGTAAACTGGGAGGCTATCACACATCGGTGTGGCAATTAAGTAGCTGCGTACTAACTGTGAGTGGTTTGGCCTTTGGCGGTTGTTGTAGACCACGTGTCCTTACCGACGCTCCGCGCCTTTCAGAGACCAGCAAGCTCACTGGGCTAGCCAAGTCCCTGCTGAAGATGTGCAAGTGGGAGATGGAGGAAATCGAGACGTGCCCCGAATGCTACAGCAGCGCCTACAGCAGTGACAACTGGTTCACCCTGGCATGCGTAAGTTGCTCCCCTGGCCACGTTACCATTAGCTACAGCTCGTAGTCCCGTCCCCGCTATTATGCCGGTTGGGCTCGGGATGGGGTCAGGTGTAGGCGCGCGGCTCGTAATGTCCACCTGCCTGCGAACGCAATTCCAGGGCCAGGCACTGCCAATTGCTTATGCCAGCACCCTGGCTGAGGCAGGTATGCAATTAAATAGCAATTAAATGCATGCTTTTTCATGCAAAAGGCATGCCTTGTGATGGATGGGACTATGCAGCGAGGAATATGTCGGCTCTTAGCCGGCCCCAAACTTGGCCTGGTTTTGTGGCCAGTGCCGCACACTGCAGGACATCTTACCGAGTCAGCCATCTCTGGGTGTAACTGTTCTAACTACAGTGATCGGGACTGTGCCACCCGTGCTGCCCGTGGCGATGTCCGTCATCCAATGCTGTTATGTTGTGAAACGCTGTTATGTTGTTATGAAACGCTGCTGCCCCTGGTTTCAGCCGCACCCCCACGTGCTGATCTGGGCGCGTCTGAAGGGCTTCCCATACTGGCCAGCCAAGGCCGTCAAGTCGCGCGACGGCAACGTCGACTGTCGCTTCTTCGGCCGCCACGACAGGTGGGTGCCGATCAGGTTGTGTGACACAAAGCTGGAGAACAAAATGAATTGTGAACATATAAACATATGCTGTGTTGAGAGGAGTACATGTAATGTCATGGAATCATGGGAATCTCAGAGAGCAGTCATGTTTCCATAAGCTTTAAATCATGTTCAAATGAATTTGGTACAATGATGACATTCTTTGCCAATTTTTGTGTTGTTTTTGCGACTTTTAGGTGGTTTGGTGCAGGTGTTAGGGGAACAGAGCCCAAAACTGGACGATGGACGGGACAGGCGTGAGACACCGCCCAAAAAGACTGATGGTTATGTCCAAAAATGATGTCCGGATGTCCTAAAGACCTCCCAGATGTGTGTATTGTATCCAACATATATGAGCTCCAACTTGCGAGCCCTTCTGGGATTTTTGAACACTATGACATAAGACACTATTTAAATGCCCCTGTTGTGTACAGCTCCGTCTAACCACACCTGTTTGCAGGGCGTGGGTGCCAATCAAGGAGTGCTACCTATTCTCCAAGGACCCTCCAGCACCGCCCAAGAGTCGTAGCAAGAGCCTGGACGCCTGCATCGAGGTGAGCAGCATGCTTCTTCTCCGCTGCGCATCAGCTGTTAACGCCAGGGCGTGTTCGTTGAGCAAATGGGGCTTGATATTTCCCACTCGGAAATTTGTTTGATTGTTCTGAACGGTTTAACAGAAATCCTCTAATTGGACCCGAAATGTAGCAGCACAGGGTACAGTGCGGAATGTAGAGGTAGCGGTGCAGCTCGTCTTTTTGCTTCTGTTCTGCGTCTCTTATGTTTGGAACATCTCTGGCTGGTGTCTTAACTGCCTGCATGTGGCCGATTTTCGCAGGAACTGGAGGAGCACATTGCGAACGTGGAGGAGAAGTTCGGCAAATTTGTGCACGCGAAGCCCAGGACGGTGTACGACCCGAGGAAGATCACCCAGTACATGAAGCAGATGATCCCCGGCTACGAGTGCAGCATCGCTCGTCCAGACCAAGGTGGGCAGATGTGTGGGGAACGTCACTGAAAACGTACTTGTGCGGCAGGATAATTGTTTGATGGGCAGAATGCGTCTGTCTCCGCCCACTTCCCGAAAAAAGTGGTCTTTGTTAACCGGATTTTTTTTTGTCGTTTACGTAGAAATTGACATCAACGAAGTATTGTGGCTGCTTTTGTGGTGTGCAGACAGTAACGCCGCGGCCTTCACTTCCAGAAGCGCCGCGTCGCAAGCGCTCCAACAGCGAGATCCAGCTGGAGATGCTGGAGCGGCTGCGGCAGGGCAAGAAGGCGCGCCGCTCGCTCTCAGTTACCATGCAGGCGGCGCGCGAGGAGGCCGGCTCCAGCGCGCCGCCGCCGGAGCCCGCCGACGAGTCGGAGCCGGCCGGTGACGATGCTCAGCAGGAGGGCGGACCGGCGGCGCCCGAGGCACAGAAGCCGCAGCAGGACGAGACCGAGCCGCCGCGCGCCAAGAACGCCCGCAAGTCGCTGGGCAAGTCGCGTCCGCCGCCGGCCGAGGCGGCGCCAGAGCCGGCTCCCGCCGCCGCGGAGCCAGCTCCCGCCGCCGCGGAGCCGGCCCCGGCTGCGGCCGTCGCGGTGGAGGCGAAGACGCAACCGGCCGCTAAGACCGGGCAGCAGCCCCCGGCTGCGGCCGCGGCCGCGGCCGCGACCGCCACGGTAAAGGTGGTCCCGGCGGCGCCGGCGGTGACCGGCCCGACGGCGGCCCCTGTCGGCGGCCAGGTGCAGAGGCTAGTGAAGGTGGGCGCCATGCCGTCGCCGCTGCACAAGCCGGCCATGATGGCCATCCGCGCCTCTCCCGGCCGGCCGCGCCTCAACCCGGTCAGGACCAACGGTCTCGGCAGCCCGGTAAGGCGGCACGCCGCGCCCGGTCGTCGGAACTCTCCGAACCGAGGCGCCGCGTTTTCTAGCTACTGGCTGCACTTGTGTGAGCTGAATTAGCTTAACGATTATCCACGATGGACGGCACATTTAGCATTCAAGTTATGCTGTCCATAGGTTGGGTTGTAGCGTCATTCTTGTGTTGCCAACCTGCTCAAGGTTGACTGAGTGCATTCAATGTTTTCGCGCAGATGGCACAGACGTGCGACTTCTCCATGTCCCAGAGAGCAGTGTATACAGTGCAGTCGGACTGTCCAGTCAAGGCGGCCCATATATCTGTCATCATCCCCTGCCGAGTCCTACGACAGCTTCCACTACCGGGCGCGCCCCGCCAGCTCGTCGGCCGCGCACCCCGCGCCCCTGACGCCCCTTTGCGCCGGCAGATGATGGGGCCGCAGGTGCGGCCACGCCTGATGGGGTCGCTGCGCGCGCCGGCGCCGGCACCCGGGCCGCAGCCGCGCCCGGCCGCCGTGGCGCGTGGCTCGCCGGCCAGCGTCGCCGGCGCCGCCCCCGCTCGGCCGGACGCGCCGTTCGTTCTCACCACGCCGGCGCACATCGGGCCCATGATGGTGGTGCCGGGCAGCCCCGCTGCCGGCGGCGGCGGCGGCAGCGTCACCAACGGCGCGCTGGCCGGTCTGGCGGCGCCGGCCGAGGCGGCCACGGCAGCCGACGCGCCGCCACCGCCCGTCCATGGTGGTCCCGTCACCGACGAGCTGCGAAAGCAGGCCAACAGCGTAAGTGGGCCCGATACATTGGGTGGCTGACCGGAGAGGTGTCGAAATGCGAGGGGAGGGGGAGGGAAGGGGGGTCGAAAGTGGTGTATGTCGCGTGCTTGGCGACGGTTTAGGTGAACTTGTACGGCGAAGGTGGTGATACTGCACTTTCTGGGACGCGGCAACGTTTTGCGATTCTGAATGTGACTCATTGAGGGTGCAGACTGGTTTTGACTGGGAAGAGTGAGCTGCTTAAACATTCGGCCTGAATCGGTGTAACCTCAAATGACCTCCGTTCGAGCGCACGGCTTGCTAGGATGCGACGTAACCCACGGTGTCGGTCTCGCTGTGTGGCCTGACTTCGCTACGTTATATCGCGCGATTTAAGGTCGGTCTGTCGCGATCTGTTCGGATCTGTTCATTGGACACGATCTGATTGGAAGCACAGTGTATCGGAATATGAGCTGGCCCGCGGCCGCGGCCGCTGCGTGTCCTGTGGCCTGACCCGGGACCCGGTGGCCGGCCAGCTGTCGGAGCTGATGCGCACCGGGCTGGAGAGGGCCATCTCGGAGCTGGCGCAGGCCGGCGGCCCGCAGTCGGCCATCGCCAACCTGCGCCTGCAGGTGGAGCGGCTGCAGTGGAGACACCAGATGGAGCTCTCCGAACAGCGGAAGGTCACAGGTGAGCATCGGCTGCAGTGGAGACACCAGATGGAGCTCTCCGAACAGCGGAAGGTCACAGGTGAGCATCGGCTGCAGTGGAGACACCAGATGGAGCTCTCCGAACAGCGGAAGGTCACAGGTGAGCATCGGCTGCAGTGGAGACACCAGATGGAGCTCTCCGAACAGCGGAAGAAGGTCACAGGGAGCATGCGGCTGCAGTGGACACCAGATGGAGCTCTCCGAACAGCGGAAGGTCCAGGTGGAGCATCGGCTGCAGTGGAGACACCAATGGAGCTCTCCGAACAGCGGAAGGTCACAGGGAGCATCGGCTGCAGTGGAGACACCAGATGGAGCTCTCCGAACAGAGGAAGGTCACAGGTGAGCATTGGCTGCAGTGGAGACACCAGATGGAGCTCTCCGAGCAGCGGAAGGTCACAGGTGAGCATTGGCGGCGGCGGAGCAAAGACAACAGTCGGTTAGCGCTCCCCAACAGTCGGCTTCCCTAGCGGCAAAACTGATATTCTGCCAGTGTTTTTCCCCACTAATCGTTTTAAGTACGAACGCCTCCGGAGTGTGCTGTGTGGAGCGTCGACGTTAGCATCAATCGTTGTTCATGTTGAGATAAGGGACTTTTTTACAAAGACGGTTGCAAAATACGGTCGACGCAACATGTGCTGATCGTGGTTAGTTCTTTTGTACGAGGTCGTGGCCGTTTTCTATTTTTTTGTCAGGTTTTATGTCGTATATTCAACTCGTCTTCTTTCGTGTCGACAAGTGCTTACCGGTACGAAATAGTCAAAACCAGAGCAGGCGCATTGTCGTGAAGAGGCGAGCAGAGGTCTGCAAGGCTGCTTCGTATGTCTTGCTGAGTACCAGTTGTGGACAGATACCTATCCCCTGCGTAGGTCTACCTGACGCCCTGCTTTCCATTCGTGAACCGGTTGAATGACCGCATTGGTGATGTAGCGATGGAGAAGGCCTCCTAGCCGCTGTCTAACCGCCCAGCTAGCCGTGCAGGGAAAATGTCAGGCCTACTACGGGCAAGTTTTGTTTTACTGCTGGGCCACTGCCCGGAACATCTAAATACCGGCTGCCTCGGTTTGATCCCAGCTTTGGACGAGCACCTGAGTGCAACCGGTCACACACCCATCAAACACCTGTTCGGCTCACGTATTTGTTCACTTTTATTATCTTCTTAGGTGCATTCGTTACGTTTATGAACTCACTATGCCTGACATGAGCATGATGTTGCTTCGCTTCTGAACGCTGTATTTCAATAGCCAAGAGCTATTGAAATTGGCGCTTGGCCCCAAAATAGATGTATTGCATCGTGATCTTTTTCCCGGACAGACACGATGCTGGCCGAGCTGCGCAACAGCATGGAGATCGAGCAGAAGAAGGCGCTGAACAAGCTGACGGCGTCGTTCGCGGCCGAGCGCAGCGAGTGGAGCCGCCAGACGGAGCAGAAGGTCGGCGAGACCAAGAAGAAGCAGTGGTGCGCCACCTGCGGACGCGAGGCCATATTTTACTGCTGCTGGAATACCTCCTACTGCGACTTCCCCTGTCAGGTGAGCGAGCGCGGCGGGCGTGGTGAAGGGGATGGCCAGTGCGACTGATGTTGGCCAGACGTCTGGCTGACCCCGGGTGGTCAAAACCGTCCCGCGAGGGCCGCCCCCGGGTGGGCTCGAACCACCAACCTTTCGGTTAACAGCCGAACGCGCTAACCAATTGCGCCACGGAGGCTTGTGACGGCCGCGCTGGCCGTGCTGGCCGTGCTGCCGTGCTCGCCGTGCTTGCCGTGCTTGCCGTGGCAGCCGCGCTTGGCCAGATTAAGCTGAGAAACTGGCGTCCGTTCAGCTGTGCTGCCAGCAGCGCTGATGTGCGGTGTTGGCCAGGGAGTGGCAGCCCAGCCCGTGACGTGCCTCCCAGCCGGGATCGGCGTCCTGATCGGGCCCAGCGCTCTCTTGTTAGTACAGTGCGCTGCCCGCCTGCCGTGCTCCATTATTGATAAGAACCAAATCACTGCACACACCAGTGAATAAGGGTAGATACAAATAGGGAACGTGCATGAAATAAGGCGTTGATACAGCATATAAAAACAAACACCTTTAACTCGGGGTGACTGTAAAGAGCTTAGTCAACCTCTTGGTTCACTGACAATTCAGTGCACGCCGAAGTGTCCGATGGTGGGCTGACCTGTTGTGTAAACGTAACCTTTCTCAACTTACACTGAATTACGGAACGATCTGTGTTTGATGTGCATGTGATGCAGAAAAGACGTTTTTATGGGGGTTTAGATGCTAAAAAGCTGTGACCGTCATTTGTGTGTTATGTGAGTTAATGATATTGTTAACACCTGGGTGTCATGTTGGTGCATGTTGTGATCAGATCTCGCTTATTTTTTATGGGCTGTTAAGGCGGGTACAATATTCAATGATCAGTAACATCTTGATGTCTCTCCTGCCTGGAGGATGAACTGAACGAGAACCAGGTAGTGAAATTCCAGTTGCTGAAGCCTATTTGCATTCCCAAAACATCTTCTATACTTCGATGTATCCATCGCGTATCTCATCCTGTATGTATTGGCTATCACTATTGACATATGCCGGCCATGCTGGCGGCAGTGGTACGAGCACGTGAGCGTGACCGCCCCCCCCCCCCCCCCCCCCCTCCTCCCACGGGTCTCCCACTGCTCACCGTGTGCGTCGTATCGCTGCAGGAGGCCCAGTGGCCGAAGCACATGCTGACCTGCGCCAACCAGCAGAGCTCCCAACAGGCGTCTAGCCCGGCAGCCGGCGCCGGCGACGGTGACGGCGGCGGCGACGGCGCCCAGGAAGCCCAGAGCGCGTGAGCCTCCTGCCCTCCCGCGACACATCGGACCCTCGCAGCGGGCGCCGGTCCTATCCATGAGACGGTGGTCCCCCGCTGGCTCGAACCGTCCCGGCGATCCTCGTCTCTGCAGTGAGCTCCGGCGTGCTGTGGCCTCAAGCCTGTCCCTCATGTCTCGGTCTGCGCTCTGCTTCAACCGCGCATCCGTGATGCCTTGACCATCAGTGAGCTCCGATCAGTTCCATGAGCCCGGCGGGCATTCCCTGTGGCCCCCAGCCCCTCCGCGTCTCTAGACCCTTCAGGCGCTCCCGTGGAGTCTCTCGAGTCCACAGTCTGATGTAGGACCGTTCTCAGCTTGGCGCGAATGAGTTTGGCAGTGTTCTCCGGGACCAGTGCGCGGCGCTCCGTGCGCGGTCTGCCGACACGGTGCGCAGGGCGGCCTGGGTACACAGGTGCCCTGACCTCTGTGTGTGGAGAGGCGCGCCGCTCGTGGGTGCGCGAGTCACGATCGCCTGGGCCGCCCCAAGACGTCACCGTCACCGTCTTCGACAATGCGCCGCCTGACGCTCTGTGAAGGACCGGCTCGAGTCTGACTGGTGGACGCGCGCGCCTCTCCCGGGTCCGATCGCCGGGCAGCGGCTGCTGAGGGGCGCGCCGACCTGCCAGCACCGGGCCCATCAGCCCGTCACGTGACGCGCTACGACACGCTGCGTGTCGTTCCGGCGCACGTGTGTCGTCCTGGCCGTCATGTGATGCCGGGAATCCCTGGCGGAAGCCGCCGCGCTGCTTCCGCCGGCAAGCGCCCCGGGCCAGGGCTCGGCCTCGGTTTCGTACGCACCCATTGTGTACTTTCGGTTTTAGCAACGCGTTTGGTCGTTTGTGACCGGGCGGTCTTGTGTTAAGCATCTGGCTGTCACCGTCTAGCCTGGAAGGACGCTCTGTTCCGAGCATGGTACAAGTAGAAAAAGCCCGAGCCTTCGGCCTTGTATATGGAGAATCATGGACAGAAATACACTGTGTGTTGACCGGGCTACCGGCTCGCATTTCCATCCGCGCAAAGATTAACGCAGCGCGTGGGGCTTCGGTGTGTGTTTGGCGCGAGCGGGCACGATTGCTGTGCGTGATGAGGCTCGTATTGGCCACGGAGACACGTTTGAGCATAAAATCGACTCTCAGATCTGTGCGATGGCGTCACATCTGCACAAGCCGATCGGCTGTGAAGTGGTGACACGTCTTCGTATCCTGCCGCACGGCCGGAAGCGCTGGCTCGCGGCCGAGTCGACCGTGCTGACCCGACCGTGCCACCACCTGCGGAGAACGAATCGTGGATCGGGCGCTCGGCGGGCGCGCCATCCGTTTACCGCAGTGGCCGCAAGCCCGCCCTTCTCTGCAGTCTTGCCGGCTTCGGCGTGGTATGCAAGGCCCCATCCGGTCGGGTGCATGCCTCGGGTCTCGAAGGTGTGTCAGCGGCAGTGCTGATCGAGAGGGCCGCCTTGGACGAGGTCAGGAAGGGGTCCTGTTCATCCCTGGCTACGGTATCGATGTGGCCGTGCAGCGCCAGAGCGCGCCGCGTGGTCCCGGGCTGCCAGCCGCTGGCAGGTGCACGGCTCGTGCTGCGGCGAAAAACAACTGGCCCTTCATAACACAAAGAACACGCGCTTTACGGGAGTGCGATCTGAGACTGTGTAGCTTGTGTTGTCTGCCGCACGGCCACCAGCATGCCCTGGTGGCCGCGCGACAAAGCATTCGCGAAATCTGCGGTGGGTCCTTCGTCCGTCGGTGTATGTAGGGCGTGCTGGTGAAGCGTGATGAGTGATGTTAGTGCTCAGCGCAGTTCTTGGCACTCACTTCAGAGCATTAAACGGTATGTTTTTTGAGCCTTCCCTGCCACGTATGGGGCGTCCATGGTAGGGATAGGTTTATGGCCGAACCTAACCTGCGTAGTCCCTTAGTGCCGGCAGCCTGTGGTGAAAGTCACACGTAGATGTAGAAAATGCAATGCCTTGCGGCATTTCATTGTGGGAATGGGGGCGATCACAGCATGCTGACCGCTGGCCTGCGATGACTTCTGTCCGTCCGGTGGTCATCGCAAGGCGGCGGCTTTGGTGATAGGTGGGAGCGTCGACTCGTGCTTGTTTGCAGAGCTGGTGAGCATAATACCGACTGATGGCGTGACTCATTGTGAATGGGTCAAAGCGTGAACAGCGACAAAGCGTCTGGTGTGTCGGTTGCCCAAAACCGACCAGCGGGCCGCCCCCGGGTGGGCTCGAACCACCAACCTTTCGGTTAACAGCCGAACGCGCTAACCAATTGCGCCACGGAGGCCCGTGATAGCGGAGGACGGACCCCCTCCCCGTTCCAAGGCCTGCGATGGTGTCACAGCTGCACACACCGACCGGTCGGAAAGTGATGACGCAACGCCTGACCTTGTCATACCGCCAGACACCGGCTCGCGAGCCGGCCCGCTTATCCCGAGCTCGCCACCGCCGGCGAAAAACGAGGCCCACGCGAAGCGCTGGTGATCGGGGCCCCGTCTGTCTCCACACTCGCCTCACAGGTTTCGGTGCGGTGTGCAGGGTCGTGCCCGGCTGGATGCCTGCCACGGGTTGGAAAGGTGTGGCGGTGGCAGTGCTCATAGAAAAATATGTAATCTAGGGTGAGGTGAGGATGGGGTCCGCTGCGCCCCTCGCTACATCAGCGGTCTGTTAACGAGACGCTGAAACGCACACGACCGTAAAGCTAGCGGCGTATGGAACAATTTGCCTACGACCGAACTCCGATTTCAATACAGCTACTGCAAGCGACCAGTTACAGCATGAGAACACTACATCTGGCGGATGTATGTCAATATCACGTGACCTTCGAGGTCAAATGACGAGACACCCCTCATCACATCAACTGTACTGACCGATTTCAGATTTTTAGGCATCAATCTTTCAGAGCACGAGAAAACGCTCGTCTGAGTGTCCCCGACTTTTTAAGTCCATCTTTCAAGGTCAAGCTCAAGATCAAATGATGGGGAACTTCGTACGACCGACCCCAGATTTTAAGCCCCCGAATCTTCTGCGGCGCATAAGCTAGCGGCCGTCAGAAAGGCCTCACCTCAAAGAAAGGTGACCTTGAGAGATCAAAAGAGTCCACTCGCTTCAAGAGCAGGGTGACCTTGAGAGGCACTTGAGACCTTGTGGTGACCTTGGTGACCTTGAAAGGCAGAACACTTCGCGCTGGACGCTAGTTCATGTGCTGAAGATTGTGATGCTTAAAAGGAGGACCGCATGACCGTACCCTGCCGTGCATGGCCGTACACGCTCACCCTCGTGAACTTGAATGCCGTACTCGGCCGCACTTAATAGCCATACCGGCTGTACCTGGCTGTAACTAGCTGTGCCTGGCTGCACTCGTTGCGTGTCGGGTAGCCAATGTTGGTGCCAGGGGTCGTGCCGGCCACGCGACTGCGCGAGTTCGTCGCGGACAAACAGCAACATGTTTGCCCTGGACTTTTTCCGATTACTTTTTACCGGACGAGCTTAATACTACATTGACCTTTTATGTTGCGGACGTTTGACGTTACAAACTGAATGCACATGGGGCAGCATGCCTTAGCACGGCTCAGCATGTGATGATTTGCGTCTACCGAACACTCATCTTGGTTTTGCGTGGCGGATTTGGCTTGGTTACATTTGTCTTGAAAGGAATAATACGCTTCTTGCGCGCATGGTCACGATGTAAACTGTGTACAATGCACGTTCCGGACTTGCTGACGGGCTCAGACAATGATACCCTGCATTTGATCCATATGTATATGCACCATAGTCTGCTTGGCGTCTGCTTGTGCTTGGCATGCTTGGTGGGCGGTCGCATCATGACAAGAATTGCGTCTTTGATGTCTCCTCACCACAAACGCTTCATTAGGATGTCCAGGATAGGCAGGGGGCCCAGCGTCTGCTGGAGTATGCTGAGATCAGCCGGTGGGCTGTCGTCCCTCTCGCTGCGGGTCAGCAACGTCCGACTGAATCTGCCCGGACGCCACGCTCAGGTAGGATCATGGCGTTGGGTCCAATTGCGAAAGCAGAGCGTTGTATGATACTGCAGTGCGTCAAGTTGGAATATTTATCAATCATTGGCTTCAGAATTTGTCAGCTGTTCATTTTGACACCTTTCGCACGTTTGATGCTTGTCAGGGACTATGACGACATTTGTCATGCCCGATTTGAGATGTTATTCTTGTGGAAAGAATGGATGACTTGTTACGTCTACATATGTAGCAAACCCGGGATATCCTTCATGCCATCACGATTCACATACTGTAGACGGCTGTCGCTTTGCACTGTCAACGGCTACCGCGTTGTCATGTCACATTGTATATGCTGTGCATCAAGTCAGAACGACTTTTTCAGTGGGCGCCCATTCCAGCGGCGGATTGGCTGGCGCATAATTTGTAGCACATGCCGAGTCGTGACTCGTTGAACTTGGCTTACCAATAATGTGTTAAGTGAGCAGTTAAGCGGTATGTTCAAGTTTGCGAAAACCCTTTGAGGCGCTTCACGGCTCTGTTGTTCTGACAGGCCCTGGCGTTTACATTGGAGCCGCCTGGGACGCCAGCCCGCCCAGCCGTGACCTGCCCGGCCGTGACCTGCCCGGCCGTGACCTGCCCGGCCGTGACCTGCCTGACCGTGGCCTGCCCGGCCGTGACCAGCCGACCGTGACCTGCCTGGCCGCGACCTGCCCGGCTGTGACCTGCCTGGCCGTCACCTGCCCGGCCGTGACCTGTCTGGCCGTGACCTGCCCAGCCGTGACCCGCCGGCCGTGACCCGCCGGTCGTGACCTGCACAGCCGTGACCTGCCCGGCCGTGACCTGCCCGGCCGCGGCCTACCCAGCCGTGACCTGCCGGGCCGTGACCTGCCCGGCCGTGACCTACCCAGTCGCGACCTGCCCAGCCGCGACCTGCCCGGTCGTGACCCGCCGGCCGTGACCTGCCCGGCCGTGACCTGCCCGGCCGTTGCCTGTCCGGCCGTCACGTGCCCGGCCGTGACCTGCCCGGCCGTGACCTGTCCGGCCGTGACGTGCCCGGCTGTGGCCTACCCAGCCGTGACCTGCCGGGCCGTGATCTGCCCGGCCGTCACCTGCCCGGCCGTGGCCTACCCAGCCGTGACCTGCCGGGCCGTGATCTGCCCGGCTGTGACCTGCCGGGCTGTGACCTGCCTGGCCGTCACCTGCCCGGCCGTGACCTGCCCAGCCGTCACCTGCTCGGCCGCGACCTACCCGGTCGTGACCTGCTCGGCCCTGACCTGCCTGACCGTGGCCAGCTCGGTCGTGGCGCCGACACGTCCGGCCGCGACGACGACCCGTCCGGCCGTGACCCGCCCGCACGTGGCGCCAGCCCGTCCGCACCGGAGGCTGCTCCGCGCAACGCCGGACCCGCGATCCCCCGTCTCCGGGGTCAGGAGTCAGGCTTCCAACCTGCCCTGTGGCTGGGCCGACTGGCTGTCGCCATGGGAACAGCAGTGGATAGGTGGGCTGTTCCGGCCCGTCAGGTGTGGCCGCGGTCGCATCGAGCTCAAGGAGGTCACCGAGCTCTAGTAGTCGTCCTCCAGCCCCTCCACTGGTGACCAACAACGCACCTGCCTGACCGGGACGCTACTTCGACGTCCGGCTGTTGCTGTGGCTGCCACACCGCCTTTGGAAGGTGCTCCTGGCCTGCCCTGAGTGCGGAGGCCACCTCAACGGCGGGCCTCCACAAGCATCTGCGGAAGGTGCTGGATCTGCGGGCCGGCTGCTGGATGGCGGCCGAAGTACTATCCTGTCCCAGCTGCCGACCCCTCAAGGTCTATACGGCCCGGAACGAGCGGCTCGTCAGACAGCTGGACGTCGCGCACCAGCTGCAGCTCCCAGCGGTCCTGACGTATAAGTAAGCACCAGCGCACAGGTACTAGGAATGTACTCACGCGCTATCCCACGTGCAACGCGCGCATCAAGCGCTCTCACATGTATACAATTTGGCTCTCCATCGTTTATCTTCTTTGTGGAACAGCGTTAAAGTGCATTGGATCCGAGTGTTCCATATCAGGTAAAAAGTGCATTGGATCCG